CCGCCCTCCCCTCCTTCTCTCTCTCTCTCCGCCTCCTCCTTCTGCAGCATTACTCTGTCACAGAAGAAGGAGACGGCCCTCCATTTTTTCGTCTCCCTCCAGCATGGCTTTAACCACTGCTGGTAGGGAGAGGTCTCCGCCGACCACTGCGGTCAAGACCCGGCGCTCCTCGTCCCATGCACTACACTCTTGGAGAGTGTGTTGCGCCGAGTCCCGACCGGCCGCACAGTGGTGGCATCTCGTCGTATGCTCCCTTCCAATCCTGCACAGGTAGTCACCGAAGCAACCGTGCCCGGTGAGTACCTGTGTCAGGTGGAACTCGAGTCCTCGTCCTCGCCTGTCTACCCATTCCGGTAGACAGGGCTGGTAGGCGTGGGTGGTCCATCTGCCCGTCGCAGAATCCGCCATGGCCTCTTGCCATTTGGATATAGCTCTGCGACGGGCACTCTTCCTAATTTTGTCCACGGCCCCTGGTCTTAGACGGGCGCTCCCGGTGCGGTCAGGGTCCCTCGTACGCTGATACACTTCAGCGTACGAGTTCGCCAAGAACTCTACCGGGAGGAGGCCCGCCAGGGCCGTGGCCGCCACGAACGACGTCGTGCAGTAGGACCGAATGATCCTTGAGGCCAGCCGACGCTGTTGGCGATGCACGATCACTTGAATGCGCCGACTGACCAGGACTTTATCGGCCCATACCGGTGCCCCGTAGAGGGACACCGACTGCACGACGTTGGCGTACAGACGCCGAACCCTAACGTTCGGCCCACCCACGTTGGGCAGGAGACGGCCTAGCGCTGCCGCCATCCTGTCCGCTTTGGGGACGATTTGCACAAAGTGCTGTACGAATCCCCAAAGCCCATCCAGGATGAGGCCCAGATATCTCATCTGGGTCCCCACCGGGACTCGGACCTCCCCCACCCACATTTGGATGGGGGGAGGACGCCCCTTGGCCCTGTCGTAAAAGAACAGGGCCTCCGTCTTCTGTGGGGCGACCTCCAGTCCCATGGTACGTATGGAGCATACGACCGCTCGGGTTGCGGCATTGGCCGCGTCCCGAGCCTCTACCCAGCTCCTCCCCCGGGCCACCACCAGCGTGTCGTCTGCATAACATAGCAGACGACAGCCCAGGGGGAGCGCCGTACGGAGCACTCTGTCATATGCGAGGTTCCACAATAGGGGGCCTAAAACCGACCCCTGCGGAACCCCGCAATGCATAGGCCTTCTGCTTATCCGCTCCAGTTGGTCTTTGTACTGGAGCGTCCTGCCGCGGAAGTAGTCCCAGACTACATCCCTTAAGTATTGGGGGAGGCCATGATGCTCCATGGCCACCCCCACCCAGTCCCAGGGGAGGGAGTTAAACGCGTTGACAATGTCCAAGGACACTGCCAACGCCACCTCTCCCTCCCCTACAATTTGGTCCGAGAGGGCCCTCAGGTGCATAATTGCATCTGTGGTCGAGCGACCCTCCCGGAATCCAAACTGTTCCTCACTCAAGTCGGGACCGGTCCGCGACAGGTGCTGGACGATTCGGCCAGCAATTATTCTTTCAAACAATTTGCTGACCTCGTCCAGCAGGCAAATCGGCCTATAAGCAGAAGGCTGCTCCGCCGGCTTCCCCTCTTTGTGGATCAGGGCCAAATTGGCCATTTTCCACGCCGAGGGGAAGGTGCCCGTCCTGAGGCAGGTGTTAAACAACCTCCTCAGACGAGCCCCTACTCCGCCAAAAACCAAGGCCCAGACTCGGCCAGGGATCCCATCGGACCGGGGGCCTTGCCAGCCGCCCCCAGTCTCTTTGCTACCTCGGAGAGCTCTCTTCCCGAAATATCCAGGTCCTCGGACCAGGGGGGAGGGTCCCTCCTCGGGGGGGATGGTTGACATCCCGTTCGGGGAAGAGGATCTCCACCACCTGACCGAGAAACTCCGGTTCTAGCGTCTCCGAGATGGGGGGCGCCGCCGGTCTTAGCCTATTCAAGACTATCCGATACGGACGCCCCCAT